AATATAGTTTTAGCCTTTGTAAATCTTAATTGTTGGATCCTTACTTATATAAGCTCCTTTTTTCCCCCTTCTTGCCCTAGTTTTGATTTGAGGTGTTCATAGGGCCTCAGAACTGGTTTAGTTATAAGGATAAGTTTGGGATATTGCTGCAGAACTGAGGAGATGCTTTGGACATTTCATGTAGTTACTGGTAGCTTGGAATTGATCAGCTGGTCAGTATAGGTATCAGACCTGGGTTACTATAGACCCATGAAATTACCGTGAAAGGGAGTAATCAACCAGTTGAGGAGCCCTCAGTTCTGGAATGATATGCTGCTCATAAATGTTAAATTCTTCATTTTGGAATAATTTAGTGGAAGCTCAAGGAGGAGATTATACAAATGCTTGGGAATCTTTTATGTAACTTATAAACTCGAGAAATGATTAAGTAGCAGACTGTTTTTCTACCTTTTTAATTATATGAATAATAAAACTAATAATAGAAATAACTAAGGAAGCATATCACTTTCCTCTCAGACCCTAAAAAATATTTATTCAGACATTCATGCCATTTTGAAAAAATCAGATTTCTTCACAGTTAGGGAAAAAGGGGTCTAAAATTTCCGAACTGTTCCTTAGCTGATGGTCTGGAAGGATAGTTCTGCTTATTTTGAAATTATTGATGAGATTTATCTGTTTTTTTTGTTCTTCCCTGGGTATAGGTTCTGAGTTTTTGGGGACTTTTCATGAAACATTGAGAGGTTCTATCTTGGGACTAGGGAATTAGTATCTAGGGGCATAAATACTAAATCTTTTTTTTTTTTTTTTAGTTCATTAATATTGGTTACTAGAAGGTTTAATTCTTACAGTTGCATATCCTGAGGCTTTTTACCAAATTATAGTGATTTCCACCCCCCTTAAAAAAAAAAGAGGATCCAAAGGATGTTTGTAACTTACCAGTGGTGGTTAGTCTCTTTGAGAGTGTGGTTTATATATGTACAAAACTACGTCTAATGATGAGCATTTGTCTATATGCCTGGGGAAAGGAAATCAACTTTTTAATTAATTTCTTTCCTTAGAATATTTGAACTACTTGTACTCAGCCCATTCCTTAATGTTTAGTTTTGTTTTAGCTGTGGAGATATTTCTGCCTTGAAAGTTAGTGCTTTTTCTATTCCGGCTGAGTTATACTTTGTTTTGTGTATCAGGTTTTAGACTTTGCGAAAGAGAACAGTAATTTCTTGTTTCTTCATGTTTATAACATCACAACTTCTATCCTCAAGATTTTTTATTTGGCTAAAAGTCAATCTGTTGCTAGGCTAAGTTATATTATTGGTTTATATGTGAGTGTGTGTGTGTGTGTTTGTGTGTGTGTGTGTGTGTGTTTAAATCTGTGCTGTAGGTACATGGTACCATGAACCTATTCCCATAGTTTCCAGTAACTAGACTGAGGGGGCTTGCCACTGTGATAGTATCATTTTTGCTTTTCTTGCCTGCACTCCTACTTAGACCGAGCTTCTTGAGGACTGTAATTATGTCTTTTCCCCTGTGTTTTCCTAGCACTTAGCACAGTGCCTAAATCTAGACTTTTCAAAATAAATGAATGACTGAATCTATTCCTTGCTTCTAAACTAGAATTTAAAATTTGGGGACTTCCCTGGTGGCGCAGTGGTTAGAATCTGCCTGCCAATGCAGGGGACACGGATTTGAGCCCTGGTCCAGGAGGATCCCACATTCTATGGAGCAACTAAGCCTGTGTGCCACAACTACTGAGCCTGTGCTCTAGAGCCTGAGAGCCACAACTACTGAGCCCACGTGCCACAACTACTGAAACCCATGCGCCTAGAGCCCGTGCTCCGCAACAAGAGAAGCCACCGCAATGAGAAGCCTGCACACCACAGCGAAGAGTAGCCCCTGCTCACCACAACTAGAGAAAGCCTGTGCGCAGCAGTGAAGACCCAGTGCAGCCATAAACAAACAAATAAATAAATAAAAATAAATAAAATTTGTCTCATCTATCACATAAAGACAGTAATAGCAATGAACCGTTAATACTTTGAAAACTCTTTGACTCTATTAGTATTCTGTCTTCCCAGTTGTAGTTTTTAGTATCTTTTAGTATCTTTTAGTATCTTCATCTGTAAACTAGGGGGTTCACAAGTCATCTCTGCTGAGGATTCACAAATCACAAATTTGAAGCTTTTCTTTGCTTGCTTATAAAGTGCTTCATATCTAGATTGGAGGCACCAGGAGGGCAGGGCCTATCTCTGTCTGGTTCACTGAGAGATATCCAGTGCCTCACAGGGTACCTGGTACAGAATGGGTCTTCAGTAAATGTTTTTTGACTAACTGAATTCTTATAGAGTACTTTGTAGACTTTATTTTTTTATTATCTTTTTATTTGGTCACGCTGGGTATTAGTTGCGGCTCACCGGCTCCCTAGTTGCAGTAGGTGGGCCCCTTAGTTGTGGCATGCATGTGGGATCTAGTTACCTGACCAGGGATCAGACCTGGGCCCCCTGCGTTGGGAGCGCAGAGTCTTAAATACTGCACCACCAGGGAAGTCCCATAGTACTTTAGCATATATTATTTATAGTGTAATTTTTACAGTAGCCCCGTGGGTGGGTTGGGTAAAATATTATTATTTTTAGATGAGAAAACAGATTCATAGAGACTAAGAGGCCTCATCAGGGATAATAAGTGGTAGAGCCTGAGTCTCAAACTTAGGTTTTCTCATTTTAAGTCCAACTTTCTAAAAAAAAAAAGCTATAATAGACTGTTTCTTTCCTTTGGGTCCTAAGTAACCTTAGAGGGAAGGGACTAGTAAGAGGGGAAAAGTATGGTCTTCCCATCAGAAACCCTTTATGAAGGTAGTAGCAGGGCAGGGCCCCTGGAAACAGTTTGCCTGTGTTCTGATAGCACCTCAGCTCCTTGCTGGCTGTATGGCCTTGGGCAACAAAGTCCATTTAACCTTTCTCTGCCCCCACTTCCCCATCTGTGAAATGGATATAATAGTAGTCCTACACTCAAAGGATTATTATGAGGAGTAAGTTAAAGGAATTAATAAAGTTTGTTAAATAAATGAAAAATAAATATGAAGAATATGTGTGATTTTCATGAGCTAATAGAACGTAGAACGTTATAAACTGAGCACTTAGGCCTCTGGTGGTAAGAAGTTGATCATGACTAGGTTTTGTTTTCATTTGGTTTGGTTATCTCAGTTGCCTTAGTTTTTTGAAGGTTAATTAAACTCACCCCAACCCCCACTTTTCAGCTTCATTTTTAAATCATCTTTCTCTGTCTTCATTTGAAAAAAAGTTTTTAAACCCACATTTGCCAAGAAATCTGCAATGATGAATTACTTACTCCTTTTCCCTAAGAGCCTAATTATAGCTCATACTTTCCCCTATTCAAATCACACAGCCAAGATGTACATATTCTGTGAGAATTCAGCATTTATTTACAGTCTGTAAACTTGCTTAGTTTTATGTGTGCTTTTTATACATATTTTGTAATAATACTGGCAATCTTTTTTTTAGAGCTTACTTTGTGCTTTGCAAAGATCATCTCATTTAATCCTTAAACAAAAACACCTGGGAGATGTTGCCCTATTGAGAAATTGAAGTTCAGAGAAAGTGACTTCCCCAAATTGATACATCTGGTTAAAGGTGGCACCATTATTTAAACTCTGACTTTGAATCTCAGGCTCTTAACATCTACTTTATGCTGCCTGTTGTCTCTCCATGGAGAGTGTCAGTTTTAGAATGTTAGTACCTGGAAGACAGGTTCTAGATCTGTGAAGCAAAATTTGCATAGAGGACTTCAGAGTCCCAGGAACAATTGACTCTTAGTACATCTAGTGTTGGAGAGGGGAGGGGGGGTTAATTATAATCATAGTATTAATTTTTTTTTTTTTTTGAGGTACACGGGCCTCTCACTGTTGTGGCCTCTCCCGTTGTGGAGCACAGGCTCCGGACGCGCAGGCTCAGCAGCCATGGCTCATGAGCCTAGCCGCTCCGTGGCATGTGGGATTCTCCCGGACTGGGGCACGAACCTGTGTCCCTTGCATCGGCAGGCGGACTCTCAACCACTGCACCACCAGGGAAGCCCCATAGTATTAATTTTGATGACAGACTGAGTTTTTTTTTTTTTTAAGTTGTTGGGGGTATGAGTTTATTAATTAATTTATTTATTTTTGCTGTGTTGGGTCTTAGTTTCTATGTGAGGGCTTTCTCTAGTTGTGCCAAGCAGGGGCCATTCTTCATCGCGGTGCGCAGGCCTCTCACTATCGCGGCCTCTCTTGTTGCGGAGCACAGGCTCCAGACGTGCAGGCTCAGTAGTTGTGGCTCACGGGCCTAGTTGCTCCGCGGCATGTGGGATCTTCCCAGACCGGGGCTCGAACCCGTGTCCCCTGCATTAGCAGGCGGATTCTCAACCACTGTGCCGCCAGGGAAGCCCCTGAATTTTTTTTTTGAATTTTTATTTTTAAAAATATTCAAGTGAAGTAAAAATATATCTTCTTTTAAACATATTCTTGATTTTTAACTAATTGATTTCAGCACGTCCTTGTATGACCAACAGCTCCGCTGTATTGGGGTCTTTCTCTTCCTGTTTTATAAGATGTATGACCTGTTTGCTTTGCTTTTATACTTCGTGCTCAGTCCAGATGGCAGGTACAGGTCATTTTACATGCTAGTTTTGTCCAGTAGATATTAAATTAAAGCTACTAATAGAATTAACTCAGTAGAGCTGGTTTGTTTGTCCTAGAACATGTTTTTTCTAGTATTTACAGCTTTTTCTTAGTAGTCTTAGTCCCAGGTACTTTGTGGCTGTGATGATGTCATTAAATTTCAACTATGGTGGTATCTTAATCCTCACAGACACTCCATATCTCCTCTCTCTCGTTAAATTAAATGCGTATACTAGCATCAACTAAAATGCTAGAATTTTATCTTTTTTCCCAAAATACGGAAAATTTCATAAGTAACCATTAATCTTGCTTCTTCTATTTTTAACTGTAGTACCAGAAGAAAACATTGCAACTATGAAATATGGAGCCCAGGTGGTAAAAGGGGAGCTGAAGTCTGCCTTATTAGATGGTGACACTCAAAATTATGATTTGGATCATGGATTTTCTAGGCACCCAATTGATGATGACTGCCGTTCTGGCATCGAGATTAAGCTAGGTCAGCCGTCCATTATCAATCATATACGGATACTCCTGTGGGACCGAGATAGCCGGTGAGTCATTTGCATGACTTGGAGAGAAACTGACATGTTTGATTGAGATGGCCTAACTTTGTGGTCATCTGCTTTGGTTTAAGAGATTTGCTGGTTTATATCTTTTTTATCACTCTTGAAGTTTAGTTTTGGGGGAAGAATTAAAGGGTGGTTTCTTTAAAAAAATAACATTTTTTGCTTTTTTCTGCTTATAAAAGTAATGAATATGTGTTTATTGTGGAAAACAGAAAATGTAGAAAAGCACAAAGAAGAAAATAAATATTGCTAGTAATCTCACTGCCTATTATTAATTTTTATATTTGTCTAACCAGTACTTTTTTAAAATTAATTTTATTTTTGGCTGTGTTGGGTCTTCGTTGCTGAGTGCGGGCTTTCTCTAATTGTGGCTTGCGGGGGCAAATCTTCATTGCGGTGCGTGGGCTTCTCATTGCGGTGGCTTCTCTTGTGGAGCATGGGCTCTAGCTGCGCAGGCTTCAGTAGTTGTGGCACATGAGCTCAGTAGTTGTGGCTCGTGGGCTCTAGAGCGCAGGCTCAGTAGTTGTGGCTCACGGGCTTGGTTGCTCCGCAGCATGTGGGATCTTCCCAGACCAGGACTCGAACCCCTGCCCTGTGCATTGGCAGGCGTATTATTACCCTCTGCACCACGAGGGAAGTCTGTAACCAGTATTTTTTTGTTATGCATAGTCTCACACATACACACACACACACACCAGAAACCTGTAAAACCACACATAGTTTTACAAAATAAAGGTTAGATGTACAAAAAGTAACTTCACTTTTTAATTAATACACTGTGAATATTCTACTCTTTTAAAAATATTCCTGTAAAATGTTACTTTAAAAAAATTTTTTTTGAAATATAGTTTACTTATAATGTGTTTATATAAAACATATATATATACAAACACATTTGTATATATATAAAACATATATATATACAAATATGTTTTACATATATATTCTTTTTCATATTTTCCATTATGGTTTATTACATGATATTGAATATAGTTCCCTGTGCTATATAGTAGGGCCTTGTCGTTTATCCATGTAAAATGTTACTTTTAATAGTTGTTTGGTATTCCACTATATGGGTTACCATTGTTTATTTACTTGATTCCTTACTTTTGGATATTATGATAACTTTTAAAATATACTTTATACTGTGGACAAAGAAAAAAATTGTCTTTTAGTGTGGATAAATATCATTATCAAAACAAAAGAAATATGTGAAAAAAACTTGATGGGCTCCAGCCTAGGAACCCACCAGTTTCACAGTGGCTTCAAGATTCTGCCTTCCTTTCTAGCCACTCTGATGTTTTCACCCACTGAGTTCAGCCATGGCATAAGTACCAGAGCAGCAGGATGACCAAGAACTGAACAGTCTCCCTCATTGCTGCTCGTCATTATCCTAAACCTGTGCACCCAGTCTCTGGTGTACAGTCTCCTAGGCCCTACTCATGCCTCTTTGAGTCTGGGCATGAAGGGCTTAATGGTAAGGGTGATGAGACCCTGCAGATCTTGCTGGTTAGTTCATTTCTTTTGTTAGCACCACTGACCACCACCCTGGCCTTTCAGGCCATTTGAGGCAAGTGTGAGGGAAGCTTTATGAAGTGAGAGTCAGCATTTCCCATGTGCATGGGTATTGGAGGTTATCTCTAGGTTATCTCATTCTTTTTAATTAAGAATATGTTTCCTGATATGTATCGTTGGATATGATATGATGTTTAGTTGGCAAAATGGAGCAAATTTCACGTATTATTTACAAGAGTCTCTGATTGATAATAGTAGTAGGCACTGTTCTAAAAGCTTTACGTATATTAACTCATTTAGTTAATAATGCAATTAGTATAAAAATAATAAAGAAAAGTTTAGTACATTTGAAACTGAAAGTACTTTTCATTTCCAAGATGTTAAATATTTATAGGCCACTTTGTTTTATTTTTATTTTTTTAATTAATTAATTAATTTTATTTATTTATTTTTGGCTGCATTGGGTCTTTGTTGCTGCGTGTGGGCTTTCTCTAGTTGTGGCTACTCTTTGTTTTGGTGCGCCGGCTTCTGATTGTGGTGGCTTGTCTTGTTGTGGAGCATGGGCTCTAGGCACGCAGACTTCCGTAGTTGTGGCTCGCGGGCTCTAGAGCTCAGGCTCAGTAGTTGTGGCGCACGGGCTTCGTTGCTCTGCGGCATGTGGGATCTTCCCGGACCAGGGCTTGAACCCGTGTCCCCTGCATTGGCAGGTGGATTCTTAACCACTGAGCCACCAGGGAAGCCCCAGTTTGTTTTAGTATGTGCGTTTCATTCACGGGGAACTTAACTTTACCATATACTAGTTCCTTTCTCACAGAAGTTATTCTAAGCAAAGGTGAAAAATTCAGAATCTTAAGCCAAAAAGATTCTCACATGTGTTGTAAAATTATATCCTGCATTGCTGATAACCCAGAGAGTTTCAATAAAAGGTTATAATCAGTTTGAGACTGAGCAATAAAATGAATGGGAGTGAGGGGACAGCAGAAAATGAGGGGATGACACAAAATAAGCTGACCTTTTCTGGTCACAACTGTTGGTTGCAGGCTGACATTTATGGTCACCTAAATCTTCTGAGATTGTTCCCGTTGATATTACAGTACAAGTAATAACTGCATCTCAAATTTAAATTTGGCTTATGACAGGGGAATATAGATTTGTTCAGTATGGAACCAGCATGTAATGGTCCAGGGTAGCTGACCAGGGGAGGATGATAGGCTGTTTTCATTACTGCTAGATTATTAGCTGCCAAATTTTAAGTTGTACTGAAAAGGAATACATACTATTTCTTCACCCATGTCATTTATTTTTCTGCAGGCTGTATCTGTGTGTGGGATGGTAGGAGACTGGGAGGAAGCAGGAGATAAGCTGGCCTCTGTGAGGAACCATTCTGAGTTGGCTTTCCTCCTGAGACAGGAGGGCTGGGTGCCCAGGCCAGTGAAGGTAGAGGGAGAAGGCACACTTCTCTGTTTTCTGTCCTCTCTCTGTCATGGCTTTATTAACCTGTTAATACGGTATATGCAAGGCATCCTGGTCCTGTTATATCTTATATGCCTGATATGTGACAAGCACCGTGCTAGACCCCAGATATATGCAGATAAATATGGCATGGTCCGTGTTCTTAACCAGCTTGAGACCTAATAAGGCAGACAGACATGCAAAGAGATAATTTCAATACATTGTGGCGAATGCTATGTTAGGGGGATCTATACACATTTCGTCATCATCAGAATTTGGTCATTATGCAGAAAATGTAATTCATGAATAGTGTATTTTTTGTACCTTTTAACATTTTTTAAAAATATAACTTCGGGGGGCTTCCCTGGTGATGCACTGGTTGAGAATCCTCCTGCCAATGCAGGGGACACGGGTTCGTGCCCTGGTCTGGGAAGATCCTGCATGGTGCGGAGCAACTAATCCTGTGTCACAACTACTGAGCCTGCACTCTAGAGCCCGCGAGCCACAGCTACTGAAGCCCACACGCCTAGAGCCCGTGCTCCACAAAAAGAGAATCCACCACAATGAGAAGCCCGCGCACTGCAAAGAAGAGTAGCCCCCGCTCGCCACAACTAGAGAAAGCCCAAGCACAGCAATGAAGACCCAACGCAGCCAAAAATTAATTAATAAATTAATTCCAACGCAGAAAAAAAAAAAAAAAAAAAAAAGCTGCTAAAAAATATAACTTTGTGTTGTTATTTTAATATGATACTTTTTTCTGCCTTTTTCCTTTTGATTCATAGGTCTTATTCATACTTCATTGAAGTCTCAATGGATGAACTTGATTGGATCAGAGTGATTGATCATTCGCAATATCTGTGTCGTTCGTGGCAAAAGCTGTATTTTCCAGCCCGTGTCTGCAGGTTAGTTCTCATGGCTTCTAAATGATTTTGATGTTTTTTAAAGAGATCTGGTTGTTGAGAAACAGATTTCATTTTTCTGTCTCATAGAAGAAAAGTTTTCCAGGATATCAGTTACTGAATGCGTCCCAACTAAAAAACTTAGGGATACTATGGAAAATTAAGCATCTTAATATTTAGAGTGTACTGTGGAACTGTTTTGTACCATATTTATGTAAAGGCATGTAAATGAATAAGAAGGGACGACACACTGAGAAGTGGAAATGCTTTTTAAATTCCATGCTATACCTTGAAAGCAGAGTTATTGTTAGGGGGTGTGTTCTTTTCACAAAAACCATGAGAGATATTTCTGGAGGCTTCCCTGGCAGTCCTCAGGGCCAGGAGGAGATTTTTGGGTGCCATTGTGCATGTTCTTTTTCTAGGTCAGTGGATATCAGTGGAGTTTGAAAGAGCAGGTGTTTCTAGTGGGGTTGGGTTTGGGGCAAGGGAGGCTGAGCTGGTGGGGTTCCAGGCTCACACCTTCCCTTCAACCAGAGCACCTTAACTTTTATTGTCATTATGTATTTTAGCTCCATGTAAGTTTGTTTTTTAAAAAGTACTGATAAGCTATTCTAACATTTCATATTCTTACTTTAGATGTAAGCCATCTTTTAAGCTTTCTTTCTGAAATTCTGCAAAACCAGTGTGAATAATGAATTTGGGAGTTGGGAAAGGTGGTTAAAGGCCCCTGAAATTCTGTTGTGTTTTTTCTATTGTGATTTTCCCCTTGGAAATTTCCCTCAGATATTCTTCACCCTAAACTCAAGAGATTGAAGGCAGAAAGTGATTGGTTTGTTTAATTAGGTGTGTCAAGAAGGGATATGGTGGGTGTAAGCCAGGGAGCACATGGAGCTGGCCCCTTACCCACTCCGCTCCACACCCGTACTAGTGACCCCAGCTGACATCCCTGTGTGGCTGAGTTGGAGCAGATGGGGATGCCCCACAGCACTTACTCTCTCGGTCAGAAGGCACCCTTATACTTATTAAACGTATGATCTGACAGCATCAGGCTGAATTCTTACTTCTACCACAGGAACTCCACAAAACCTTTCAGCCTCTGGTACAGTAAAGATTATCACCTACATTTTTTTTTATTATGGGTATGACTGGACACAATATTGTTACCCAAGGATACTCTTGTGTGGAAATGAAGAAAATCAATTTCATTTCCCCAAAGACGGACTAAAGTGTCTCAGGTCTAGCAGTTGCTCTTTTATCAGAGGAGTTTTGAATGGATTAAAATGAGAGGGACAAGAAATTGAGTGAAGATTCTGTATCTCAGAACTGCCTAGGGATACTTTGAGAGTGACAGAGGGGCCCCGAGGAAGAGGAGGGGATTGAGTCTGCATCGACTGACATTATTATGGCTGTATCAGATTAAAAAATAAGCAGCATAACAACCGAAGTGTCTGACGTGGACCAAAGGACTGTGTGTTTGTATTTAATTTGAAACACTAGGAACACGACTCCCAGAACAAATCATCGTGACTGTAATACCAGCTATGATAGAGGCTGTGTGCTTTACCCACCTGAAAACTCCTACTCTGTGGAGGGAGACATGTACCCTCAGTCGTGATCTCTGGCTTTTAGAAAATATAATTCCTCTCATTTATTAATGGGTATTATTTATACTTCCTTTTCCTTATTTTGTCTCTCCTATGTGGCCTTGCCTTTGTTGATGTTGCTTTTATGTGTTGTAGAGCCTGGCTCTTTTCATGATTCTAGTTTTTGTCTTGGTATAGCCAGCTCCCACGCTGGTTGAGAAAAACTGAGCAAAGGTGATGTTAGAGACAGTGATAACAAGAAAAGGAAGGAGTCTTGATATGCATTTTAGTGAGAAAACATTTTAATATTTATAACCACTTTAACTTACTATGTTACTACATTCCTTCATAAACTCTGCCTTTTGTAATAATTTGGAATTTTGGAAGTATTTTAAAATGAACTTAAGAATAAGTCCCTATTGATTATCCAAGGATGTCTTACGCTTGGTGTTTCTTATCTTCACAATCATTTATTGACTTCCTAAACAATGTTCTAAATACACTTCTTTCAGGGACTTCACTGGGCACATATAAATTCTTTATTTCCTTAGCACGTAAGTGTTCACTTTGCATTGTGTTAATTTGCACATTTGTATGTCACCCTTGTTCTTCAGTGTCCTTTGCGTGTTTGTCTTGCCTCTCATACTAAAATTACAAGCTCTTGGAAGCAAGGAGTATGGATTCTAATCTTTCAGTATTCTTGTGCAGTTCTCAAGTTATGACCTTGTATGCAGTAGGTACTCTATAAATGTTAGCACAGGTTTGGGGTCAAGGCACTGACCAGGTAATGGAAAGAGACTGATTCAATATTAATATGTATATATATTCATTGGTGCTTTTTATCCAAGTATTTGTTAAAATGTATATCTGTGCTGGAAAACTCTGGAGTAGTAAATGGTTCTGTACTCTTTGCAAAGTCTACTTTCTGTTTTTTCTTCAGGAAAGTGAATTTCGAGGTTAATTCTGAAGGATGCAAGTGTTGTATATTGATGAAAGATTTCATTTAATATATTCACTAAAGAAGAGATACTCTGTGAATTGTGAGATTACCCAGCCCTCTCTCTTGAGTCTAGGTTGAACTGCATGTAAATCAGCATTGAGTAGTAGGAAAATCATGGGCTGCAGAGTTAGAGCTCTTCTCAAATCCTGGTTTCATCTAATATTGGCATTGTGATCTTAGTAAAGGTGTGCCTCTCCAAGCCCTCATTTCTACACCAGTGAAACAGGAATAACAGCACCCTTCCTGGGGTCTGCTGTGGAGGGTTAGATGACAGAGCATATGTACAAGTACTGAGCACAATGCCTGGCCCAAAGTAGAGGCTCAGTAAATAGTTGTTTTTATTACCTCTTCTACTTTCTGAGACTCTGAACTGGTGTTTGGCCTTCAGAGAAAGAGAGCCATCCTGCCATTCTCTGTGGCCATGGTGGCTCTCAGTGGTGGCTTTCGGTATGAGGAAACTGTTCCTTATCTCAGGAGTGTGGCCCTTTCAGCACTTTTCCATATTGCCAGTCCACACACATGCCTTCCATGGTTCTCTTTATCTTAGTAATCTGCCCATTTGTATGTTTCCAACAGTTTTCATACATTTTGGTTTTGGTAAAGCATTTTTCAATTGTGGTAAAATATATATAACATGAAATTTGCCATTTATATATCCTGTGGAATGTAATTTAGTCAGCATTTCCCCTCACTGCGATAGTGGTGATAAGGATGATGTCAGGCTTCAAAGCCGGAGTGATGGTTACAACCACAACAGTGAAATGGAGGGAAATAAATGGTTTGCTCTTTCTTTCTGGGTCCTTTTTAGGAATGCATTGTGGGTCAAGTGGAGACTGCTCTATGTAGCCAAAAGCCCCTAGCCCCCAGCTGGAAATGAAGAAAAGTGATGTCAATTTTGGTACAGTTTTTCATGTGATACTCAGAACCATCTTATATCTTATCAGCTTTGCCTTTTTCAGGAAAAGGAAATTTCTGCTTTACCCATAAATTCCCCAACCTTCAAACTGTCTTCTTGGCTATCTAGTAAGCTCTCTTCAAGTCCTTCCACAGCTTTCTTAGTTGGTACAGCCTAGGACTGAACAAAAAATACTAACAAGGAGTGGAAATATTGAGTGCCCTGGGATGCTTTAAATTTTTTTTCTGGCTTTTTCTCAACACGGTGCTGGTAATTTGGCAGCTGCAAAATGTTGCTGAAATATGAGAAGACTTGAAAACATGGATATGAATGCGTGCAGAGGTAGCCCGCATATGGCTGGTAGCTGGAATTACAAAAGTGAACTTGGTATAAAACCTGGGAGTTGAGGGAGAGGAATAGTGGGCCTAAAAGCACAGTCCTTAAGAATATAGCTATTGAGAGAGGGAAGGAAAGAGTAGGTGGCAGACAGGTTTACTGCAGGGGCTGGTCAGAGAGTTAGAGGAGAATCCGGGGGAGCACAGAGGCCAGAAAGGGTGTTGAGAAGGGTGCAACTTGACGGTTCAGAACATGGCACAGGATGGATGAACTCACTTAACACAAAACTGAGCTTCTTTCTTCCTTTCCTTTTGTTTTTAATTATCAAAATGGAAATGTCTTTTTATGACATTTTAATTATAAAATTATGATGTAGTACACATTTTAAATATTGATAAAGCTTGCCCTCTGATAAGGCTGTACTCAGTTTCTACCAATAGCACATAGAAATGCCCCTTCTCCAAACCCTCACCAATGCAGGCATTGTCAGCATTTTGCCAATGTGATTTATGATCTGTAAAAAATTGTCTTACTTTAAGTTGGATTTCTTTTATCATCTGTGAAGTGTAGGGTATCTTATAATACTTGATATTTGTTATTTCTCACTTATAAAAGCCTATTTTTGTCTTTTGCATATTTTTCTTCTGGGGTGATTATCTTTTTGTTTTTGGCTTGTGAGAACTTTATGTTGGTATGTACACCTTGATAGATATACATATATACATTGTATATATGCGGTGTATATATACATTTAGATGTATGTTTGTGTATGTATGATTATACTTTTGCCTATCATGTACTGTGCAATTTGTTATTAGTTTTTAGTGTTTTATTAGTACTTTTTACCATATAGAATTTTATGTTTAAAAAAATGTAGTCAAATCTGTCAGTCCTTTTTATGGTTTCTGGTGGTCTGATATCATGTTTAGAAAGGTGTTCCTCACTCCAACGTTAAAGAGTGTTATATTTTTATAAATTTTTTCTGCTACTTGTTATTTTTATCTTTGTATCTAAATATTTAATCCAGCCAGAATATTTTTCATGTATCTTTTCAGATTAGGGATAGTCAGTTGACCAAGACCATTTATTTAATAATCGTTCCTTACCATACTAGTGTGAACAGCCATATTTATCATGTGCTAAATTCTAGTATATACTCCACTCTGTTCATTGATTTCTTTGACTGTTA